AGGTCTTTCTTTCTGTTCACTTTTGATTTTGCCTATGGTGGTGTTTGCTATGAAGAGTACATTTTAATGTTGTTAAATGTATCTAGGTTTTGTGTCATAGTTAAAAAGGCTTTCCCTCTCTGAATTTCTAAAATTATTCTCCCACATTTTCTTCTAGTGGTTTATGATTTTGCTTTTTATCCTTTTCAATCTTTTTTGAAAAAAACAACTTTGAGACACTTGGAATTGCTTCTGGCATAAGGTTTTTCAGGTGGTTAAAGTTGATTCACAAACCATTTATTGACTAGTCCATTTTCCTCCACTGATTTAAGATGCTAGTTTTTATTGCATAATAAAATTCCATAAGCATATTGATCTGTTCCTATATTTTCCATGTTCTTTCCCTGCACATTTAGTCATTCAACAATGCACTCTTTAACAATATTTAGGTCTTATAATGCTTTCATATGTTTAACCTTTCCAAACTTTCCTGGACTATTTTTGCTCATTTACTATTGCATATTAATCTTAGAATCAGTTTGTCCTATTTAAAAATTCTGCTAGTATTTTTATTAGAATTGCTTAAATTTATTGGTTAAAGATAACTGCCATTATAATATTAGATGCAGTATTTTTTTTTTTATTGTTCAAGTACAGTTGTCTCCATTTTCCCTCACTACTCTCCCCCTCCCTCCGCCATCCCTACCTCCCACCCTCGATCCTACCCCGCTTTGGCTTTGTCCATGTGTCCTTTATACATGTTCCTTGATGACCCTTCCCTTCTTTCCCCCGTTATCCCCCACTCCACTTCCCTCTGGTTATTGTCAATTTGTTCTTCATTTCTATGTCTCTAGTTCTATTTTGCTTGCTTGTTTGTTTTGATTAGGTTCCACTTATAGGTGAGATCCACTTATATGGCATTTGTCTTTCGCCCCCTGGCTTATTTCACTTAGCATAATGCTCTCCAGTTCCATCCATGCTGTTGCTAATGGATGCAGTATTTTTTATGTTCAGGATACTTTTGTGTTCATTTTGTAAAGAAATTGTGTTCACATAGTTCTTTACAATTCTTATTAAGTTATTTCCTAGATGTTTTATCTTTTTATTTTTTTATCTCTTTAAATCTTATTAACAGATCCTCTTCTTCCATTTTTAAACCTGTTTGTTTATATAAACCTATTGGTTTATGTTATTACATTTTTACTTGTTTTCCACGAGGTTTCCAGGTATATGAGCATATAGTCTATAAACAATGATAATTTTAACTTCCTCCTTTCCATGTTTATATCTCTAATTTGTTTCTCTGATCTAATTCTACTGGTTAGGATCTTCAAAAACTTACTAAATAATAATGATGAATGTGGCTGTTCTGGCTAAAAATGTCTGTAGATTCTTTGACATTTATGCCTTCAAAAAATGGAGACATTCTCTTCTTCTTGGAGGCTGGCCTGAGTGACTTGCTTCCATGGAACAAAAGTGGAAGGAATGGTGTATGATTTTGGTTGTCAGGTCATAAGAGGCACGGCAGCTTCCGTTCTCTCTCTTGGTTTACTTACTCTAGGGGGTACCAGCTGCCATGTTTTGAGGACACTCAAGCAGCCCTGTGGTCCCAAAGGTGGAGGCACTGAAGCATCTGGCTAACAGTCACGCAAGTGAACTTGAAAGTAGATCCGCTTTCCCCAATTAAACCTTCCGAGGACTGCAGCCCCAGCTGATACCTTGACTGTAACCTTGTGAGAAACCCTGACCCAGAACAATGCAGCTGAGCTGCTCCCCTGGATATGTGTTGTTTTATTTATTGGAGTAGGTTATAAGGTAATTCACAAGAAACCCACAGAGTTTAAAAATGAATTGTATCAGCTTGGACTGGGACAGTGACAGTATAACCTGAAGAGAGGTCCCTGAATGAGAACAGACGGGAAGCAGCTAAGAAAGCTATTTAGCTGTAAACATGGGCCCGGAGAGAGAACTCAGGGCAGAACCAAGAGCCCGGGGGATGGGGAGAAGAGTCACTTGGCTACTGCCAGGAAGTATGATGGGGTTCTAGTCCAGGAACTGGCAGCCTTTGTCCAATTGAATTTCATAATTTCTGTAGACTAGTGACTACGATGGGCCTTCTAGTCCCCCTCTCTGAAGGGAAATGTCTATAGAGGTATAGTTTCCTGTGCCTTTCCCTTCATTGCAATGTCATGTATGTGGTAGTGGGATAGGGCAGACCACTTGTCTTTTTAATTCACAGATCTTCATATGGAAAGGAGCCACTTAAGGAATTACACCCGAGAAACTGCATTCAAGGAGCCCCACATCCTGCAGTGCCTCTCAAGATCCTGGACCTTAATGCTGTAATAAAATGAGAGTTTTGTAGGTGGCCTGGGGAGGATATGAGTGTATATTGCATGTGGAAAGAATATGAAACATTTGTGGCCAGAGGGTGGATTTTGGAAATTTTAAAACATGACCCCCAATTCTTTCCCTCTCCTCCCATCAATCTGGTTCTGTGGCTGTCTAATAGAACACAGTACTGCCCTGGCTAATGTGGCTCAGTGGATTGAGCATTGGCCTGCAAACCTGAAGGTTGCCTGTTCAATTCCCAGTCAGCACACATGCCTGGGTTGCAGGGAAGGTCCCCAGTGGCGGGTGTGTGAGAAGCAACCAATTGATGTATCTCACACATTGATGTTTCTCTCCCTCTCCTTCTCCCTCCCTTCCCCTCTTCCTAAAAGTAAATAAAATCTTTTTTTAAAAGAAATCAATAGTAAATAACAATGGCCAATTAGAAATAACATAGATAAATGGGTTATTTTCGCAAAAGCAACAAAACTATCAAATACCTAAGGAAAACCCAAACAAGAAGTGTGCCAGACACATGAAGAGAAGACTATAAAACGTTACCAAAGAACACTGAAAAAGACCTAAATAAATGGAGAAACATATGTTCCTGGGTAGAAAAACTCAATATTGTAACTATCAATTCTTCCTAATCTATTGAAAAAGCGGGGCTGGAGGGAAGGATAGAGTACTGACTAAGATTCTGTGTTAGTTTCTGGTCTCAGGCCTTAAGTGTTAAAGTAAAAACATTCAATAGCACTTGTTAAAGATAAGGCAGACTTTATTCAGGAACATCATAATAGGTATAGGAACCACTGCAATGGGATTTTGCAGTAGGGGAGATTGGGCTCAACACCATATAGGTAAGTAGGAATTTAGAGCCAAGGAGCAGGCTGGAGATCAGTGGATAGACAATACTAAGAAAATACATCAAGTTAGTAAGGGGGATTCTGGGTAAACCCACCTTACAGGATTCTTGCTGAAGGAATTCAGCAGCCCCAACTGAGGTCCCAGTCACAACCAGAATCCAGCAATGAACATGTGAGTACTGTTGACTATGGTAAATGAATCAGGAGCCTTTGGTTAAAAATAAGTATTTATTTAGGGTCTTAGGACTTGCAAGCTGGAAACACAACTAGGAAATAATCCAGAATGTTCTGAAGAACAAAAGCTGGGGGGGGGGGGGGGGGGGGCGGTTCTAGTTAAAAGCATATTCTTGAGAAGAATCAGTCCTGCATTCTTAGCCTCTGAATTGGTTCAAGACTGCGATCCTCTAGGCGTCCGGTGCTTCAGATAATGGATGTCAGGCAGACTGGATAATAGATGTCAGGTGGTCTGGTTACATAAACATTGTTTTCTTAGTCCTTTTAAGGGGTAATCAGAGGTTTACCTGCGGTTTGAGGTATACGCGGGCATTGAGGCAGGACTGGAAAGTTCAACAGTTTAAGTTCCCAGACTACTTACAATAAGAACAGAATCACTTCCTCATGCCTCAACCTACTTAATTTTAGTAATTTGGCGGATTGACTACACCGACTCCATTTTATAGTTTTGTATTCCTCAGTACAGTAGCCCTTGAGATGACTTTAGCCCCAGCCATATGACTCCACCCATAGGACAGACCCTGAGCGAGAATCACCTAGCTAAGCCCAGGGAGTCCCAGGACCATGCGAGATAATAAACACCATTGCGAGCTATTACTGCGACTGAACTCATAATATAACTCGAGATCGCCATACTGCTCCCAGCAATCAGCCGTGGTAGTAAGACTTTCCAGAACCATGTCTCAGGACCGTTGATTGGCTTACATTCTCGTCAATCAAGATTTTCTGTCCAATTGGCCTTTCTGGCCCCAGATAGGCGAACCTATTGGCTAAGACGCCCAACCGCGCTCTCACCTGTAGTGTGAGCTAAATCCAGAGACTACCCACAAAGACCATTGAAGAATAAAGCACCACAGGAAGTGGCGTTTATGCTTCCTCTAGTGCGGTCCAATCAACTCTTTCTGTTGGCAGCAAATTCAGTTCTGGAGGCCGCCCAAAAGGAAGAACATTTTGATTGGTTGCTTAGTACAGGAGCACGGAGACTCACGGGAGCTTAGAACAAGCACTTGCCACCATTGTCCAGTTCGCCGGTCAATCAACTAACCTCTCTGGATGGGCGGAGACTGGCAGCCCTTTTAGCACCGCCTTTTCCTGGGCTGGTGTTCCGGGAGGCAGCAAGGCCACAGGGGCTGGGAACTTACGGTGTGGGCGGGGTCGCGCTGCGCCGCTGGGACAGGCCTCCGCCGTGAAGAGCCGGGAGCGCCCCGAGCGCGGGACCCTGAGGGGCGGGCCTGGGCGAGGGGCGATCTCGGGGGCGGGGCCGGGGCGGGGCCGCAGGAGGCGGAAGCGGCGAGTGAGCTCGAGCCGGAGCTGTATTGAAGCCATCGTCCGCGCCCGCGAAGCGGCGTCGGCGGGGTTGGCCGGGGTGGTAGAGCCTGGGCGGGCGGGCCGAAGCCCGGGGATCGAGGCCGAGGGTCGGGTGACGGGCGGGCTCATCTCCACGCGGTCGTCGGAGCGGGCTGAACTCCCGCCCCCGCGCAGTCCTGGGGAGGATGCAGCCGGGGGCCCCGGGGTGGGGCGGGCGGCGGCGGCTTCAGCGCTAGCGGCGCAGGGGGTGGGCGGCGGCGGCATGAGGCGCGGGGCCTGCGTCCGCGGGAGGGAGGCGCTGCCGGCGGCCCTGCCGTTCCCGCTGGAGCTCCTCGTCTTGCCCTGCCCGCGGGGCCCCGGCCGCTCTCGTCCCGGCAGCCGCCCGGGCCGCGGCTGGTGACCACTCGTCGCGCCGCCGGAGGCTTCACCCGCGCCCTCCCCCAGGACGCTCCCGCGGAGCTCTGGGCTCTTCGCCCCGCTCGCGGAGGCAGCGCTGCGTGCCGGGCGACGGCGAGTCCGGAAGATGGCTTGGGTGCTCAAGATGGACGAGGTGATCGAGTCCGGGCTGGTGCACGACTTCGATGCCAGCCTTTCGGGCATCGGGCAGGAGCTGGGCGCCGGCGCCTACAGCATGAGGTACCTGGCGCTCTGGGTTGGGCGGGGGGCGGAAGTCTGTGTCCCCTTGGGAAAGGCCTGCGGGACCCCCTGTACATCTGCCAATATGAGCTGCGATGATCGGTTCCCCGGCCTACCTGGCTTGGGGTCTGGGCCCCGCCGCGTGGCCGTCGGTGCCATGGAGCCTCGCAGGCCTCTGCCCACCCGGGTGGCGGGCGTGGAAGGGCGGCCCAGCAACCTTCGGCACGGGAACCGCGCTTGAAGGCTTCATTTTTGCTGTAAAATATGCCCGGCTGTTATGTTGGTTTGAGTTGGTGGGGGCAGGGGTTTCATTTCCTTGCAAGTGATTTACAGGCCACTTAGATCTGGAAAACATTGTGCGAGATGATAGGACTTATACTGGGAAAGTACTCTCCAAAGTTTTGGTATCAGCTCCTACTCCTGTACATTGTAGTCTTTCCTACTTGCAAATTTTAATCACTTGCTATTACAATAGTAGTTGTCTGTGGAAATAGCCACAGGGGAGAAAAGCTTATCAACTTAGTTAAGGTTTTGTGATGGTCTCCAAGCGAAATTTTTCATTTTGGGAACTACCCTTATAGATTGTTTCCTTTTAATGAAGGCTTTAAGATGCAGTGATTGCACCACAAACAATAATTTGTTTAGTCTTCACTGCCTGTACCAGCAACCATTCATTTTGTTTAATTTTGAGGGGTTTAAAACATCTTGAATTTAGTCTCTGGCCTTTCCACGGAAGCATACGGTTTGTTTGTTTGTTTTTTTTAACGTCTGTCAGCTTGGCAGCTCTTTATTTCTTAGCTTTTATGAAATATAGTTTACATACTATAAATTCATCCAGTTATTTAGAGTATAAAATTCGATGACTTGTTAGCTTTTCATTAATGCGAATTAAGTGAGATTTTCCAAATATGTTCCTTAAAGTAACGCCTGGTAAGTTTGAAGTGCCGTCCAGTTTCCCGGTGGCTGCCATGCATCTCACTTGCAGCTCCAGGGGAGGACTGGCCGGGCGCTCCGTGTCCTGAAGAAGGACTTCTGGGTCAGGGTGGGCCTGGGTCAGGGAGCTGCTCGCTGAAGTAATTCAGCTTTTAAATCTTACAAAGAAGAAAAACTCAAAAAGATGAAGGTGTTACTCAGGGTGAGGAAGTGAAGGAAAACCTTCGTTCACCAGGCTCTGACCCTGATTCGGTCTGTGCTGGTCTCTGAACTTGGCACTTCCTCTCCCTGCCGTTGTGCAACGCGGTGCTGTAAGGTGGCTTGTTTTCTGGAACAACTGTTTCAGTTGTGGAGGAAATTGAGCTGCTGAAAGTCACAGGGTCACCCCAGACGGGATTACTAGAGGCAGTGATTTCCTTGTGAAGAGGTGGGCCCCTGCTTTTCCAACAGACCTGGACACAGGAGGAAGGAGTAAGAGGGCACGTGAACCAAATTCTGTTGCTTCTCAGTTCTCTGTTATGGCAAAATGAAAGTTTGCTGCTGAGAACTTTGCTTATTGAGAATTATTTTGAGCTTTTACCCCCAGCCCCCGAATTCTGTTTGTTTTAGTGATGTGAGCCACTAATGAACTTTTGTTTACAGTTTATTCTGTGAAAAGGAAATAAAACCTTGATGTTAAACCTTTCCTTGACCTTTTTCTTAAAGTGTGATACCTTTTAACACTTTGTGTGGGGAAACTTTTGCCATTGAATGCTTTTGGTTATTGGTTATGTAGTATGCATCATTTAATCCAAATTTTCAAATATCTTTGAAAGCAAATGCCATTTTGGTTATTATTTCATCTATTCTTGGTATCAGTTTGCTCCTCAGCATTTGCTCCCTAAAAGCTAAGAGGAGCCCATGAGAGCCTTTGCCCCTTGCAAATTCAAGACCCTTTGTTTGAAATTCATATTTAGGAAATTGCAAAGTTGACTGGATCTGGACAAAGACTAGAGAAGGAAGGGGTGTCAACCTTTTGGCATTTCTGGGCTACACTGAAAGAAGAGGAGTTGTCTTGGGCCACACATTAAATACACAAACACTAACAGAAATTAATGAGCAAAAGAAAGGTTTTGAGTAAATTTACGAATTTGTGTTGGGCTGCATTCATAGCCATCTTGGGCCACAGGTGGGACACCCTTGCATGCTGGCCTTTGATTGCACTTGCATTCCCCCCACCTGGACCTAGAGCTCTGAGAGGCTGGCTGGGTCTCAGGAGTAACCAGTGTCTTTTCCTCTGGTATCAAATGGGAAGTAAGGCTGTTGATGCTTTTCGTCTTCATTTGTTCTCTGAAGTTCAAGAAGTAAACTTGAGGTGTAAACTTGAAATTATTTGAAAAGTGACTTCTTGATAAAAGTTTACTTTGTAGGCAGGTTTGCATTTTTCTTTCAAAGTGAAGTATGCATATTATATTTGCTTTTTGGATGACTTAAAACGAGGGAATTTTAAAGACTTTTAGGAAATGTTTTTGGGGGTTTGGGGGGTAGTTAACTTGAAAGAGACAGTTTCTCTCTGTAGCCTAACTTAAGAAATAGCTGCGTTAAATTGTAGGTTGATACTATTGGGATACATTGAGGCTAGTTTCTGATACTACCTTTGTTCTTTCTCTCCTTTGGCACCTTTGCCTTTGTGTTCTGTGTGTTTGGCAGTACCCCATTTGTATGTGAGGTATGAGCAGCTTCAGAGAGTCACCCAAAATGAGGCAGGTAGGTCATAAAGGGTTTTTCAGATCTTAGATACATATCAGGATTCCTTAGGTGGATGAAGAGACCTCAGAAAACCAATAGGCCATTCCTTAGGAGCGAGTAAACCTAAGCTCATAGACATTACAGTGGTCGGTTCGAGCGGCGTGTCAGTGGCACTGCCATTCCAAATGGAAGCTGAGTTCCCACTCACCAAATGAAGGCTGAATCTCATTGTAGCTTGAAATCTGGGTCATTCATTTTTTTCTGAAGTAAGGACCAGATAAAACTAACAGGGTCTTTTGGACCGCTGGTAAATTTCTTTCCATCTTACTGTTCACATGAAATTTATAATCGGTAGCAAGTTAATTTTCAGAATTTAAGAAATAATGCAACTTATTTTGATTGCAGATAAAAACTTTGATGTTAAGTCATTACCATACAAAGGGTATTGGTCTGAGCCCTGTGAAATTTCCCTATAGTATAAATCAGTTTCGAAAGTTATGTGTTACATATTCCATGAGAGGTCCACCCACAGTTTACATATAATATGCTAGATTTAAACTGTGTTGAGCTGAAAACAAATTTCCTATATTGATCAATAAAGTGTGAGTCTATAAAACTTTTGATTTCAAAGTTTAAACAATTTTTTCTGGATTTAATCTTGGCCGAAGTATAGGAAAAAATTTAATAAGTTGCTGATTTAAAGCACGTTGATTTCAGATACCATGTTAGCGTTGATGTTTAAAAATTTATTACCTTAAAATGGGTTGGCAAACCTTTTCCATACAAAGCCAGATAGCAAATATTTAAGGCTTTGCAGGCCAGAGGGTTCCCTGTCACACTTTTTTGTTTGTTTACAACCCCTTTTAAAAATGTAGAAACTGTTCTTACATCATGGTTATACAAAAACGGGCTGGCTGGATTTGGCCCTATATGTCAACCCTTGATCTGAAGGATGGACTCTAATAATAAGATGTGATTGATTGCCTTGGGGAAAGATTTGCTGAGTACTGAAATCTGTTCAAGAAGTAACTTTTATTGGGTTGGCCAAAAGTCTGTATGGTTTTTCCCATAAAATGAAAGGCACATTTTTCATTTTCACCAATAACTTCATTGGTTTGGATATTTTGAGTATGCGAGCTATCTCCTGCTATTGGTTTCTAGTGGGTGGAGGCCAGGGGTGCTGCTAAACATCTTCCAATGCATAAGACAGCCCCACAGCAAAGAATTATTTGGCCAAAATGTCAATACTACCGAGAACCTTCACAAAACACATTTGGCGCGTTCAATCGTTCAGTCACAGCACCTTCTCCATACACTACCCAGATCTTCTGCGTTTCAGTTGCGTTTTACCTTTCTTGAAATGGTAAAGCATAATTTGCCGAAAATGTTGCTTATCTTCCATCTTTAGTATTAGAATGGCTGCACAGAAATTCACTAATTTTGGTAAGTGTGATTAAAAAATGCACACATACGACAGCTGCCACAATGAAGTCTAACAAATTTGTTTCAAATGAAGTTATAGACAATTAAGCACTACTAACAGCCATTGTATGGGAAAAAAACTAAACAAACTTTTTGGCCATCCCAGTATGTAGATGAAGACCTCTCTCAACTAAGTGACACGCATTTTATTGTTTGCCCATAGATTCTGTGTTCGATTTTAAAGATTAGAGTGTTCCCTCCCCCCACTAAAAATAACACACAATACTGTTTATACCCTTCAATCAGGGCTGTTCAAAACTTGGCAGTTTATTGATATGGTCTTGTAAACATGATTGTATTTCATTACAGTGACACCTGTCAACTTGCCTGGACGTACTTAAACATTTGCTGCTGGTGGAAATACCATTTGATATCTCATCTTTGTTCGCTTTAGGTTGTGAGACTGAATTTAAAAGGAGCTCTGAAATATTTATTTTGCTTGCTTTGGGCCATAACTAATAGATGGCTATGAAATGGTTTTGTGTTGAACCTTGGTAGTCCTTTTTTGTTTTTTTTAAGATTTATTCATTTTTAGAGGGGGGGAAGGGAGGAGAAGAGAGAAATATCAGTGTGAGAGAGAAACCTAGATCAACTCCCTCTCGCATGCCCCCAGCGGGAGACCTGGACTGCAACCCAGGCAGGTGCCCTGACCAGGAATCCAGTGACCTTTTCAGTCTGTGGGATGACGCTCAACCCACTGAACGACGCCAGTAAGGACGTAGTCTTTTCTTTTGAAACTTTCTGAGGTTTTTTTGGGGTTTGTGAAATTGTTATCTTGAGATATGAACTATGACAAAACTTGTATGTATGTATGTATGTATGTGTTGGTGGTTGAAATTTTTAACTTAAATTTTTTA